CTTAAATCATTTTCTTTTTAAAGTCAAGATTTATTCTAATCTATTTATTGCAGTAATAATTCAATGAAAACATTTTATTGTATCTCACTGAAATCATGTGTATCAATACTATCACAACATAGATAAATTAGATCATCATAACATTTATTAATAAGTATTATTTATTATTAAGTTCAAACAAAACTAATACATTCGTATCATTAGTTTTAAAAAAGTGGTGCATTATTTTTCTAGGAGAGAGTTCATAAAGAATGTCCAGACCAGAGATGTTGGTCGTTGCATTATTTTTCTATGATAAAAATAAAATTCGTCATTAGATTACTACGCATTTTTCATCTATAAGCCGTATTTATTATCACATAAAAATTGATAAAAATAGTTTATAACTTATATTTTATACATAATTAGATACTGCGAAATTTTTGATAGATTATCCTTTTGCACATGCGATTATGTCCAAATTGCGTCGTCTCATTGATGTTAAGCAAAAAAAAGAAAGACTATATATGTTCTTAATCATTTATCAAATCCGATTAGACTAGCGCCATCTTAAATTTTCAAGAAATTTAATCACAAAAAAAAAGAACTCTCATTAAATTTCTAATGAAATTTAATCCTAAAAAAGAAAATATTTATTGTTAAACAAAATTCGAATGATTGGAGTTTATTGCTTAGTTTCAACTAGGATAATGGAATTAATTCGACGAATCATTTCAACGTTTCTTCAGAACAAAGAACACCTTGAGGACAAAAGAGTGAAAACGAAGACGAACATTTTTTTTTTTTCTCTTTCTTTTATTTCAGATCATAAAAATACATTTGTAAATAGATTGTCTTGAAATTTGAAATCTGTTTTTTCTTTTTTTTTTTTTGTTTCATCGTTTTTCTATGAAATATGTTACCAATGTCATCTTCAAATCATCATACACATATGGAAACAAGTTGGAAAACATATTATGATGCAAAAAAAATACTTCGTCAAACTGAACAACGTTTAAAAGATACACGTGATTATTATCCACATGTACATTTAAATAATCATCATGATAATAATGATTTATCAGCATTATCATCATCATCATATTTATTACATGGTGATACATCATCAATTCATGCTGGTAATCGATCTATGTTAAATGATGATCGTACAATTAATACTAAACAGCAACAAGTTCTTGATTCCGAAGCATTACAAACAATCCGTAGAAAAATTAGTAAACAAAAAATAGCAGCAGGTAAAAACAACAAGATTTATTCATAGAAAATGGTTAATACAGTGAGAAAAAGAAAACACTTATCAACACATCGATACATATTTAGTTGAAAGGTTTTTATTTTATTTTTTTTTTTTTTCTTGTGTGAAATAATGTTCTTGAAATCTGATCATGTTTACTTTATGAGATGCATGTGTTCAAGGTTATACAGAGATGAATTTTGTTTATCATCTTTTACGTTAAGAATGACATTAACAAAAAAAAAAAATCACGTCTGCACATTAAATCCGATGAGATTATAGTAAACATCAGTGGCAATGCGAAGATGGTTAATTGTTGCTTTTGGTCGTGTACAACTCTGCAAAAGATTAGCATAAACTCATATAAAAATTCTATCTAATTGTGTAGATCTTTCTAGAAGAAATGTCTTATCGGATTTGTTTAAAAGTCGACAACTTTTTTTTTTTTGCCGTAAGCTGCAGACAACACAGATTTGTTTTTAATAGTTGGGCGTTTTAGTTATACCGTCAGTTCTTCCCTTGTGGCAATCGTTTAAGTTTATTTATTGTAAATAAAATAAAATAATAAAGCTCAGGTATTTATTTGAGAAATTTCAATGAAAGATTTAAAACTATGTTACCTCAAACAAAAATTTTGAATTTTTTCAATAATTTTAAATTGTTATTTCGTAAATAAATTAGTTCTATTACATTAAAATCAAAGAAAGGAAGTTGTCATTACCAATCTCGCTGTTACTAGGCTCCAATTGTCAAGAAATATATTACATCACAGATTACTATAATTATTTGGTAACATTATGATGTATTTATATTAAAGGCATGCTCGGATGTTTAATTGTATGTGAATTTGTAGGTTGTATAACACTAGAAATTTAATATTGTACTTATCAAATACGGTTATGATTTTTGTTAAAAGCTTTAGTTTCATTGATAATACAATGTAATTTACTCTTGTATAAATATCCTTTCAATTATCGGCTAATGTTCGAGCTCGAATTTCAAGCACAGGCTCAATTTCTATTAAACTAACAAAACTCAAAATTCTTAAGTTTTTATTTGCAGTAGAAAAATATACATTTTAAGTTTTGATATAGAAGATTTTTTAAAATTATTTTAATGTAATGAAGGATGAATATAAAGTATCGTACCAAACAAAGGACATATTAAATTGTTGTCTATTTTGAATACTATTCATAGATAATAGTTAGAACAAAAATTATTATCTAATTCATTGCAAGTATGTTTAACTAATCTCAATTGAGTTGGTACTTTTTTTTTTTCATTGTTCAACTTTCGTATTCAGGGTCGATTCTCTATTTCGATATCGCGAAGTGATACCGATCGTTTATGCCCAGGGCAGTGGCGTACGCAGAAATTTTTCAAGGGGGGGGGGCTCGGCATGGCACAAAAAATTTTTTATCACGCGAAAATATTTTTTCCTGTACCCCCCTTCAGGACTTTTTCGTCTCAAGGGGGGGCCCGGGCCCCCCTGCGTACGCCACTGGCCCAGGTCTTCGGTGTCGATTTACTAGAATTTGTTTAGTGTCCAAAATTTTGATAATCGGGCGAAAGCACCTGAAGAGGTTCTTTCGTAAGTCGACTAGTCTTAAACATTTAATTAACAAATGAATATATTTAACTATATTAATTTTGAATAGTAAAAATTTTTTTTATTGTTTTAGAACGTCGTGCTGAACACTTATTTCATTCTCAATCAGATGCTGGTCATATGTTTGAATCATATCGTCCTCATAGTTCATATTCAACTTCGGCTAGTTTACAAAATCTTCATTATTCTCCATATCGTCAGCAACGTATTTCACCTCCAAAACCACAACCATCGTATACATCACATCTTTGTCAATCTCAATCATTTCCATCTGAACTTGATACTGTTCTTCGAACTTCTACTAGTTCAAAAATATTACATAAAGAAAATGATATTCTTCGTACAAATGATTTTGAACGACAAACATTTCATCAACCATCAAGTACGCGTAAAATAACTAAAGTTATATCGAGTAAATTTCTATGAATTATAACATTTGATTATGTAAATTATTTTTTCTAATAATTGATTAGAAGATAATTATTCATTATCTAATGGTCGATCAACTCAACAACGTAGTGCAAGTGCATCTAATAGTCTGGCAACGAAATGTTAGTTTTAAAAATTAATTTTATTATATCTGTTTTTTTTGATTAGATCAAGATCTTCATTCATCTCATTTTCTAACTGCAAATGATTCTCAACGATTAAAACATGTTCGTCGTGTTGAATCTGCTCATGTTTCATCAGGATCAGGCGCTAAAACAAGTAAGATCAATTTCTTGTTTAGTTTTTATACTATAAGAATTTTGTTATAATTTTCAGATTTAATAACAACAGATTCATGGCAAGCAGAACCAATTGTTACTAAAAAATCATCATTAATTTCTCAACAAGAAAAATCATTTAAAAAAAAACCACCATCTGAAATAATTATTCAACGAACAAAAGCAGATATTGAAGAATCATTAAGTCATACTAATCAACGAACGGAAAAAATACTCAAACAAAAACGTGATACAAGTTTGTAGTTATTTATTAATTATTTAAATAATTTCCTCCTAATTATATCTTATTAATCCTCATAATAAAACCTTATTTCTATAAATAGTTGATACATTTCTTAATGTTCAGCAAATTACATTTTAAGAGATGACATCGTGCTTCAGCAGTAGTCATTAGTTGTTAATCAATAGTTAGCTACCATGATTATGTAATCGTATTAGATAGACAGCGTCATCTTGTTGACGATGAAACTATTAAAACTTTTATTTCTCGTTTGAACAAAATCAGTAAGACTAGAAAAATTTGAAAAGTGTTTGTGTCCATGGGTCTCTAGTGCTGAGCAATTTTGCGCATAGATAGATCAAATAATGTAAGATATTCTGAAAAAAATATGATATTAAATTTCTAAATGAACTCGATTTTTGTGACAAACAACCATTTGTTAAGAATTCAATATCTATGCGCAAAATTATAAGCCAAAGTTCAGTAAAACGCCAGTCTTATCGAGACATCTTTGTGGGCTCAAGCAGTGGATTATAGTTGTGCTAAGGCTTTCATAAGCATAAAATTAATATGATGAATTTGGCTTCGATTCGAAATTTATTTAATCTATACTTTGCTACATTCACGTATAAGATTTTCAAAAGATAAAGTTTTATAGACTTCATCCGAATTGAAGGACATTCTTTTTTGTCATACTTTTGATAAGTACTGAATAAACATGCACAATGTCAATATAAAATCTTAACTCTATGAGATATAGCTTTGATTTTTTTTTATTTAGGTGCCTCTAAACCATCAATTATTATCGCAGAAAAAACACCATTAAAACCACCATTACCAAAATGTATATGAGTTTTTCTATTGATTGATTTATGTGCGTCTAAACTTGGATTTTTTTTTTTGTATAGCAAAATCCGATGATGAAAATAAAAAATTTGAAGATTTGATTCAACAAAAACGTCAACAACATGAAGAAATTTTATCAAATGAAAAACGTTTAAAAGATGAACAAGATAAAATACGAAAAGATAAATTTAAAAAATTAAATGAACCAATTAAAGATAATTCTCATCAATATTTGCAATCATCATTAACAAAAAGAACATCACCATTTACACCTGTTCGTTGTTTTTTTTAAATTAATTTTCATAGTTTTTTTTAAAATCCTAATAGGTAACACCAAAAGATTTAACTGAACAAACACGTCAACGTCTTCTTCATTTGCTTGGACCATCAACAGATTATCATACAAATAATTCATTTGAACCATCATCTTTACTTGAACGTTGTTCATCATCATCATCATCATCATCACCATCATCATCGTCGATTTCATCATCAAATGAATCAGTAATTGAAGCTCAACCAGCAAAACTGTACGTTCTTATATTTTTTTCGAACAGGAAGAAATAAAAATTCATATTTTAGAAATGATCCATTAACAGTACGATCACGTTCGGAACCACCTATACAAAATGGTTGTTTTTTTTTCTTTTTGTTTTTCTTTTATAAAAATATTATTAATATTTTTGATTTAGGTGCTACTAATAAAAATGGACAACGTCATGAAAATTTACTTCGATGGGCTGTTAATTTAACAAGAGATTGTGATGTTGTAGAAAATAGATTCAAATATTTACGATCAAGTATGTTAAAATACAATCTATTCTTTTATTAGATACTATAGTTCTTTGATCTTATATGAATGTTAAGAAATAATTTGTATAATCTTTTTTGTGTACTCAAAAAGTGAGTACACTCTAGAATCGGTCAGTGTGTCCATCCGTCCGTCCGTTTACACGATAACTTTTGAAAGGAGAGTCCAATCACGATGAAATTTTCCACACAGTTCAGTCTTAACAATGTCTCGGTCGAGTTCGA